ATCTCTTCAATCCATACTATATGCTAAACATCATGTTAATGGCATGCAATATAATTTTTTAAAAATCTCATAACAATCCTAAGGTAAAGAACACTATTATTTCCATTTTATAGATGAGGAAACTAAAACTTCAAGAAGTTTACTAACTTGCCCAAAGTTACACAGCTAGTAAGATATCTGAGCCAGACTCAAAAACCCCTGTCTATCCAACACCAAAGTCCCTGTGAACCAACACTAAATAAAAGAGTTTATTATACCCAGAGGAAAACAAATCCAACTTTACACTAAAGTTCACCTCTATCTCAATCCTTGCTCACCCAGACCATTTTATAAATAGGAGAAGGCAGAAGGCAATGTAAAGTATACAAACTGTTATGCAGGGTGGAATCAGGCCAGAATTTTATAAATTGAAATTATTCTTCAATTTCTAAGTTAAATTACATTATAATTTTTACTTTAGGTAATAACTGCATAACACCATTTTAATTCGCTTAATTTAATCTAAATCCATACAACTTACGTGCACTTATTTTTGGTTTTCCTGATGCAAAAACTTGAACTGAATGCTGATCCGCATAACACCCAGTGAGTGTATAATCTAAGATCCTAAAATGAAGCTAAAAAAGAGGAGAGATATATCAAGTTGAGGAGATTATATAAAAAGGATGGTTACATTTTTTCCCTTGACATAATTTTAGGGAATTTATCTCACACGGTGCACAAAATAAAAGCCACAAGTATTATACATGAATTATGTGTGTGTGCAATCACATACATACATATATGTACACACACTTTTATCCTCTTTGCGTTAGGGCCATTTCTTTTAAGTTTGTAACTCTGAAGTGCTTAACACATACCAGGCACTTCACTAACATAAACTCTAATCCTGCTGCAAGGTACCCCCAATTTACAAATGAGGAAACTGAGGTTCAGAAATAGAAGCAAATAGCATCCCAGCACATAAGTAGCAGAGCTGGCATTCGAACTCAGACCTGACTACAAAAGCTGGTGCTCCTTCCCCTGTGCTGGCTGTTACATTGCATATTCTCTTCTATCCCTACAGCTATGTGGTTATGATACACTTCGGATCATAATTCTTTTACAGGAAGGAACAGAACGTAAACACCTTCTAGCAAAACTTGAGAATGTAATTACTAAAACAGAAATATCAGTTTATCTTGTGTTTGAGGGGAATGAATTGCTTTACTTAATTTTCCAGAAGAGTGAAATTTGACTTTTACAGAACTAAGCTTAGAAATAATCCCTTCCCTTACCTAGAAAACTTTTCTAAAACATTCCATAGTTCTTGAATTTCATTGACAATATGGGGTTATCACTATAAATGCCAATTATTATTAATATATTGTGCTACAATAGAGTGAGCCATTAGTTCACTCTCTGAAGGCGTGGTGATGGGTGCCTCAGAGTTACCGTGATATTCACACCAACTATAAAAAGGTCTGTTTTATGGAGCTCCAGTGTCCTTTTGCTGTGGTTCTCCTCACCTCTGCTGCTAAATGCTCCTGATTTAGCAATATCCTGATATCTTTTTTATACTTTTTTCCTTCTATCTCTCCCTTCCCTGCAAATTTTTCCCATTTCCTAACTTTTTCCTTTAACTGCCAAACTAACTGATCACATGCATAGGATGTGATTTAGAATGTGATGTAACTTTCAGATCTCAGCAATGTTTTTTCCTTTTGCAACTCAAATTATCTCAGATAGTAAAGGGCTCTTGCTTGCATCTTTGGTATAATTCTGAATGCTGGAAGTTATGACAAGGTTGATTTCCACATGACTGAGATACTGTAAAATTCATTTAGTCGATGAATGAATGCAAATAGGTAATACATGCCTTCAATGAGATTGTAACTGGTTAGGTGATGGAAATGAACAGAAAAATCGTAACCCCTACCTTTGAAGGATATACAATGTGTTAACATCTCACATTTTTTCTAAAAGGTATCTGAAGTAGGAATTTTTACAATAATCCTTGAAACAAAGCTTGTGGACACAGGTGAAGCCAAGATAGAAAAAATGACTTATCACCAGCATTCTTCTGACTTCACCACCACTTCCCCCTAAAATTGTCTTTGTGTATAGATTTCAAGCTTACTTCTTTGGTTGTTTTAATACCATTCTATTTAGGTTTTTCTGCTACCTTTCTGAACACTCCTTCAATTCTCTCATTGCTTTTTCTGAATCTTCCCCATATTTTCTCTTATCTTTTTTTGATCTTACTGATTTTTACCATTTTAACTATTTTCTCTCTGTGGCTAAATCCTAATTCCTTATATATAGCTGAGCTCTCTCTTGAGAATGAAGCTTTAGGTTTTTAGCTACGCACTGGACACTTCCATCAGGATACAGTGCTATTACCAGCAACAAATATGATATGAAACTCATTCCCTCCCAATATTCTCCGTATCAGAATTTTCTTTTAAGCATATTCATCCACTCAGCAAGTATCTGTGTGCTAAGTACTAGACTACATGTTTTGGACAAAACAATGAATGAATAAATTCACGTTTCTATCCTCTTAGAGCATCAAATCTGGTTTAAATTACATACTTTTTTGAACATCATCTTTGACTTATAATTATTTTTATCTCTTTATTTAATTAGTGGTCAAAGCTTTACTTTTATTATGGCTCTTGAAGCAGTCCCTTACTTTTTCTCCCTTCCTTTCTCTTTCTGCTGACACTACATTAGCTCAGCATCATTAACTTATTATTACCATTCATCTGGGATATTAATATATAGCCATAAAATGCTTTGTCTCTAGTTTATTCACTCACCTTCCTCATACCCATTCCAGATTGATATTTATAATGTACCACTTTGTGGAAGACTACTCCCCTACTCAAAAAAGTACAATATCAACCAAAGGAATAAAAGTCAAATTCGAACCTTCTATACTACAAACCAAAATTACCTATCCAGCTTCATATAGTACTACTGTTTCTAGTACTGGCTCCTAAGCATACTTTGTTTATCCTCCTCCAGTCTTTTAAATCATTTCTTTACCTAAACAAATGGTCAATCTTCGACTCATGCTTATCTAGGCCTTGGAGTTTTGCTTACACTCATCTCCACTGGAAAGCTTACCTTGACCACTTGGGCCAGAACTGCTTACTCATTCCTTGAAACACCAAAAGCAGTTAGCATTGATACATTACTGACGTGCATCATTGAAAAATCCGTAGAGGGCAAAGACTAAATCTCATATTTTTTGGATACAAATCTTGAATTTGATAACTAAGAGCTAGGTAAAATTAGGCTATTTGGGCTCTTTAGGTTATACTTACCTGTTTTCCTTAATTTTTTTTTTTTTAAAGACTGGATCTCACTATGTTGCCCAGGCTGGTGTAGTGGCTATTCACAGGCACAATCACAGTGCATTATAGCCTCGAACTCCTGGGCTCAAACAATCCTCCCACCTCAGCCTCCTGAGTAGCTGGGACTACAGGCATGCACTCTGCACCTGGCTCCCTTAAATTTTTTTAATTAAGTGAAACAGAAAAGCGACTAATACTGAACAACCCAAAAAAGGACTTAGCCCAGACAAAAAGAACAGAATATCCCCCAAATTGGTGAAAAATATTAAAAATCAACCAGATTTAAGCAATTTAGAAACAAAGGAAGGGATTCTACTGTAGTGAGCCATATAAATAAGTTTACCTTTAAATATGCTGTACCTCCAATACAAATTGGGTCAAATGGCTGCTTCTCATGGCTCCTGGCTCCAAAAGTTACAGTTCCAGAAAGACTAATTTCCATTGACTTTGGGAACTTCTGGCCTAAAAACACAAATATACCAATCAACTATTCTAAATTAAGTAGATTCTATAGCAAATTAAGAAGAAAATCAATATACAAACCCTTGCTTACCAATAATCCAGACCAGTAAGCTTTTCTCTCTAAATACTTCAAGTTGGCCAAAACTAACTTTGTATTCCAAATGTGTAATTGGACCTCTTTAAAAAAGAAAAGGACAAAACAGAAAGAAAAAAACGATCACAGATGTAATAGTGTTAAGAGATTTAAGTTAAATCTTGTTACTATTACTCAATTCAAGGACAGCATAACAGCAGAGGTGTATTTAAGTTTGCAGACTAGAACAGATAATGAATATTAAATCTTGAAAAACACCAGAAACCACATAAAGATCTTTGGTGATGATATACATTTCATTATTAATTCTAAAGACAACTTGAAAATCATATAGCATGATTAATATAGTCGTATCGGTTAATATAACATTTAAACTACAATTTTATTATACATTTAGTTTGAAATATACTTTGAAAAGGATTATGCTGGAGAGTAAATGTAAAAGTAAAAGTGATGAGGAAGTAATCTTATAATTTACCAGGTTGTTGATAGTTGGGCTTTACTCATATGTAGGATACAGAGAAATTGCTAGAAATAAAGCCAGGAGTAAAATAACCCCTGAGGAAGCTACACTGGCTTAAGTTTATAATTAACTGGCAAGTTTAACCAGAAAAATGAAGACATATATACAGTAAAGAGATTATCCTTATGATTATGTTTTGTTTCAGAATCAGCATTCATTTGAATAACATAAAATTATTTTGAACTTAAAAATAAGGTAAAAAACAAAGACAAATAATTTATTGTGGGACAGTGGGAATGTACTAAGACAGAAATCACGGCATCATGTTATTTTATTCCTACCTATTGTAAAAAGGTAAATGAGCTTCACAGAATTCAAAATTATTTTTCACACTTTCATGAAGTTTTAAATTAACTGTTATTCTTAGCTGTATTTCTTCTTCTTTCACTTGATAAAAACCCAAAATTGGTGGGACAGGGACCTGAAAACAAAGATAAACCAATTTTTATATAATTCTCAAGTTAATGGGTCTAAAATAGCAATAGTGATTGAGAAAAAAGTCTTGTAATAATATAGTCATTACATACAGATATGCCTTTAATGACTCATGGGTTACTCCAAGCTGTTTTGGTAATAGCACTGATGAATCTATATTCATTCTAAGGGATCTATATTCTGTTCTCAGAGACGAGAAGAGTGCTTTACAAAGGTATACAATACATTCTTGTCTCTACTCTTGCTTGTCTAGGCTCCCCTTCTCCAGGTTCTCTAATGTTCATTAGACGTACTGGTCATTGCCACCCTGCCCACAGTTCCTGCTGCTCCATTTGTACCTGTGACTCCCCCCAGCCCCTAGCTCAGCAGCAGCTTGCTCAACTGGTCATCAATAACTGACTGAAGGGGAAACAATCTGTAGGCTGAGGTGAGCCAATCATTCTTTCTGATATAGCTGAAATAAGACACAAAGAGACTCTACTTATACAGTATAGATCCTAAAGCTGTAAGGTCATGTGCAAGCAGAGAAAGCAAGCTGAAAGAGGAGACTGAGAAGCAGAGAAGAGACAAACAGTGTGGACCCTGAGTATACAGTGATTTTGATTTTCTTTTTCTAGTCCCAGTCTGACCTGGGTTTACTTCTTTTCTTATCCTTGAGTGACAATGAGATTGCCTGTTGCATTCTCAAAATAAATTCCCTCTACATAAGCTACCTTGAATAGGTTTTTTTCTAACCTACTGATTCACAACTAGGACAAAAGACAAATGGTATAGTACAAAGAGGTTCAGTAGTTTAGAAAATTTGGGTTCATATCCAAACTGTTCCACTTAACAGTTAATATGACTTATGCAAGTCATAAGTCTCAGAGAACTGAGACTCTCCTTATATGTAAAATGGGGATAATAATACCTTACTTAAGAGTTGTTAAAGGTACTGGAGAAAATGCATGTAAAGTGCCTACGACAATGTCTGACACACAGCAGTTATTCAATAAGCAATAAATAGGTCTTAGTAACATTATATATTTGTAACTCAGGTTGCCTGGGATTAGAGGTATTTTATGTTCACAGTTAAAACCATGACTAAGTCATACCATGACCTATCCTATAGCCATGGACTCCTTATTAGAGAACATTAAAAAAAATAAATTCAATGACTTTGAAAACTATTTACAAATAGTTACAGACATTAGGACAAGAGGTATCCTTTTCAAAGACTAAATCTTCGCCTTCATTCGTCAATTACTGTCTGGTATATAACTCAGGAAAAGTTCCCATTTGGAGGAACAGTACAAATGATTTGCTTATCAACAGAATTTATAAATATTAACAAAGTCTCAACTTTCCCGAAGTTGTTTACCTGGGAAGTGTAGTAGCATAAGTTGAATGACTCTAAAGGTGGAGTGAATGGAAATTTGTAAGGCCCACTAAATGCAGAATCATCCATTGCATCAATGCTACTAGAAGTCAATATGGCAGAGTCGAGAGAAGTCACACAAGGATGAACTAAAACATCTTGAAGTGGAGATCCATTGGTGGGGAGACTCAAGCTGATGGTAACATTTGGCATGATTCCTTCCAAATCACACTGCAATATAAACAGAAATGGATATTACCAAGATCTTAGAAGCAAATATCTGACTGGGGCTTTTCTGAATTTATCAAAGTCATTTTCCTCAACCTAACTCACTTTTCTCTCTAGGTATTGTTCTTCTTGCTTTCTATGTTCTGGTTAATGGTTTTACCATGTTTCAGACACCCAGAGACCAGGAGAACCTTCAGAGACCCCTATGTTTACCTCTAAAACTCTTAAAAAGATATTTTAAATCCATTGACTTCTCTTCATTCCTGTTGCAACCACACTGGTACAGGCCCTTAAAATGTCTGTCACAGCCCTCTAATCATATCTAGACTTGCATTCCTCTATTCAGTCCACCTTCTATCAATGCCAGAACTATCTTAATGTAACATAATTTTTGTTATATTGTATCCATGCTCAAATCCTTTCAATAGTTCTCCTTTGGTTGTGCATTATTTTTTAAGCCTTTCATTGTTTGGCTCTCACCTACTTCCTTAATTATTTTCTACCCTGCAACTTACAGTGTAGACATATTGGATTTTTGCATTTCTCTGAATAAATCATAGTCTTATATTTCCATATACACCTCTGCATGTGCTATTCCCTCCCGTTGCATTATTCTTTTCTCCTGTAAATTCTTTCATTCTTCATGTCCTAGCTCATTTGAAGCTTTGTGTGAAGCCTTGCATTCTGTATTATCACCTCCACATTCCTTTGCTACATAGAGAAACTCAGCATCTTCTTTCCTATGTGGTTTGGGTTAGTTTGCCAATGACAGGTACTCATGACAGATTTCAGAGGGGAGAAAGGAAAGGTAAGCCATTATTCTTGGGAGGTCATGGAAGCCAGATATCACAGCTTCACAGACCTGTCCCTGAGCTTCTACTTTTAAGGCTGTGGTGGCAAGATGTAGCACTTTCACAAACCTTTCCTTGAACTCCCACTTTGAGGTTTTAACAGACAGACGTGGCAGCTTCTCAGAGTTCTCTGTGAACTCTGGTTTCCCATCTACTCCAGACTCCAGATTTCCAGATTGAAGTAATTAGTTAATGTTTCTGCAAGGCTGCAGTTGGAGGATCAGAGACTTATTCCTTCAGCAGCTCTTGAGGAAGCCCTAATTACTATATTAAATACCTTTACTACCATATATTTATTTATTTTTAGAGACAGGGTCTCGCTATGTTGTCCAGGCTGGAGTGCAGTGGCTATTCACAGGTGCAATCATCACAGTGTACTACAGTCTTGAACTTCTGGGCAATCCTCCCACCTCAGCCTTCCCAACCTCCCAAAGTAGCTGGACTATACCACTGTGCCTAGCTTTGTAGTAGCTTTTTCTTACCCAACCAGACTTGACACAACTTACACATATCAACAATTTACACGTATGCAGGTAGTCAGGGTCTTCCTTCGCACAACTCTAACTTGACATTTACCTCTATTAAAGCACTGAATCAAACTGGCCAATTGAGCCATATAAAGATTATTGATACCTTTTGTTTCACTAGACCTGCCTGATATTTTAAGAGTTAGTGGAACTCAAGAGGTATAATGCTTAGCTCCAAATGCACTATCATATACAGAGTCTGCACCATACATTAACTGTCCGCCACCTACAAGTATTTGTTTGTCATATTTTTCTTTGTATCTCTAGTGCCTAGCACATTTCTATGCATGGGAAACAATCAAAAAATGTTTGCTCAGTGGGTATCTTTTTCTAATTATGGACCCTACTTTTGTTTTTTTATTTCTAGTATGAAATGTTTCACTTTTTATCTTATCTACTGCTTGACTTGTGAATTCATGAATGTATCTGCTATACAATGTAATAAGCACTTACAGAGCAGACAGGCATTGTGAACAGTACCATGTACAATTAGTGCCTTTATAAGGTCTTTTGGTGGGAATTACAATAATGTCAATCACATTTGAAAATAAATAGGCCAAATAGCTTTACTAAAAAACTTACAAAAATATTTCAGTGTTTCAACTTTTAAACCATCTGCTACTTTCTATATGTGAACTAGTAAGAAAAGTGGTTTTGTTTTTGATAGATATTTATGGAGATAATAAAATAAGTGAACATTAATAGCAAATACTATTAAAATATAAAAATATTATTTATACTTATTAAATTATCCTCTAACAGTCTACCATTCTTAAAGGAGTCAGAAAAACAGAAATCATTATGGAAACTGCCAATGAATTATTCACTATCTGGGCACCAGATCATGAGCCATTTACTATAGGATTCTAAAAGGAATCTGTGTACTACCCTTTAAACCAATCTGGCATATGTAAGTCTAGACATCAGAACTAGGAATTATAAAAAAAACTAGGAATTATAAAAAAAGAAGGCACCTAAGAGCTTATCTCATTCAAAAATGAGAAAAAAGTCATGAGTTGTGAGAGATTTCCAAAGATATGTAGAAAATTAGTGGTAGAATGAGGTCTAGAACTTTAGTCCACTGGCTTTTGGTTCACCAGGTTTTCTAGAGTAAGATAAAATAATCATTTCCATTTACAATGGGCCTCACAATAAAACTCCTTTAAATATTAATCACCTGAAGTACTTAAAAAATATTTAGCCAACAGTTATACTATTTACATACAACCTTAAAGAAACATTTAGTGCATAGGTTAAGGTATAAATACCTCCATCCTTTTTCTTCCTTAAGAAAGTTTTTTAAAGAAGAAAGTTGTCCATCATGATAATCTGTATCAGGACTAAGAAGAAGTATCAATCTCAAATTCTCATAAACAATAAACTAGAGTCAGCCTATCAGTGAGCAGAGACATTTAAATATCACAATATTAACATATTCCCTGTTTATTGCCACAGAAATGGTGAGTTTTCCTATTTTTACTTCACCAAACTTGGAGAAAAGAGTCAACTACTTTAAGACTTAAGAATGACATAATCCATGAATGCCTCAATTTTGGAGCCATTTACAGTAGTTAATTAATAAAACAAATAACTGGAATGTATTTTTGACCATGATAAAAGTGAGTTTAAAATAGACACAAAAACCTTCAGTTCAATTTAAGGTTAAAAAGGAAAATAAAAGAAAGACCCAATTTGTCTGTCAGGACTATTCTAATTCTCCGAAATCTCCTTTTATCTATAAGATTTATACATAGCCATGCAACATTAAGTTTGATATATAAAAAAATATACATTCGTAAGTGTAGAGAATAAAGGAAGATAGAAAAAAAGACATCTGAGAATACTATTAATACACACTTGTAGAAAGTTTACCTGGAGGATTTTTATTTTTGATCATTATTCAACCTGGTATTACTCATTGCTAACTGTATTGTTATTTCCATTGTCTATCCTATTTTCTAACCTTAAACCAGAGAACCCTAAATCAACCTATTGACTTGTTTAAACAAAACAAGAGCCCTAGGCCAGGCAGGTGTCTCAGGCCTGTAATCCTAGCACTCTGGGAGGCTGATGAGGCAGGAGGATCTCCTGAGCTCAGGAGTTAGAGACCAGCCTGAGTCCTAAGCAAGAGCAAGACTCTGTCTCTACTAAAAACAGAAAAAATTAGCTGGGCATGGTGGTGTGTGCCTATAGTCCCAGCTACTTAGGGGACTGAGGCAAGAGGAGGCTGAGGCAGGAGGATCCACTTGAGCCCAGGAGTTTGAGGTTGCTGTGAGCTAGGCTGATGCCATGGCACTCTAGCCCAGCAGACAGAGCAAGATTGTCTTGATAAAAAAAAAAAAAAAAACAACAACAAAACAAAAGCCCTTCAAAATGATTCTAGATATCATGTCAGAGATTTGTCGATTTCACTCCTTCTAAAAAAAATGGAAAACAGGTGTGGCAATTTAAAAATATGTTCACAAATTCTTTAACACTACTCTGTTCAAAAGGTAGAAACTAATTCCATGCCCCTTGAATATGGACCACTTTTAATGACTTGCTTCTAATGAACAGAAATAGTGGAAGCGATATGTGACCTCCAGTCTATGTAATAAAAAGAATAACTTCTGCCTGTCTCTTCCTTTCTTTCTCTCTCTCAGATCATTCGATTTGAGGGAAGCCAGTCACCAAGTTATAAGGTCATTTAAATAGCCTGTTGAGGAGGCCATGTGGAAAGGAACTGTGTGGCTGTCCCCCAATAACCACCAACTTGCCAGTCATATGACTGAGTTAGTTACCTTACAAGTAGATCTTCCAGCCACAGTCAAACCTTCAGATGACTAACTGAAATCTTGACTGTGATCTCATAAGAGACTCTACACTGGAAGTTCCCAGCTAAGTTGTTCCTAAACTTCTGACCCACAGGAACTATGAGAATAATAAATGTTTATTTGGGAGTAATGAGACAATTCATTACATGGCAACAGATAACTCATATAATTGGTAGGAAAAGCAAAAAGAACTAAAATTTCATATGATTCTAACATCCAATGACTGATGTTTAAGATAAAAATCAAGAATGTTATTTAAAATACAGTTAGCAAATTTTACTTTTCTCCATATATGTTAAATGCTATGATAAAGCAAGTATCAGAGAAAACCTCACCTTGCAAGTGACTGTTCCAACAACTTGCCACGTATCTGCTATATCCTGTTTATCATATTGCATGGATTTTACCTTTTCAGTAATAGAAATAGAAACTTGGGGTTTTCCTTTGTATGTTCCAGCTTTCCAGGCTGGCTGTTTCTGTGGCTGAGTCACAGAAGCAAAATGGACATTATCCAATGAATTCTGTAAATTGGCATCTAATATGGTACCAAATGGACAAGCCTGTAGAAGCAAGTCAGGCAATTGGCTCAATTTTGTGCTCAGCTCAGTGTCATTTTTTTGACCTGAGTACAGAAAATCCTGTATCCCAAAAAGAAGTTCAAAACCTTGTGAAATTCCACTGATGCTAATTAACGGCGGACGAGGGGATAGAGTTTGTTCGACTAGTGGAACACAAGCATATATCATGCCACTCTTCAGAAAAGCAACAACTGGCCAGAGTTCTTCACCTCCTATGGGGAGTCCATAAATGGATGTTTTATTGATGCGTGAACAGCTGTCACGACTCTCCACGAAGTCCTTATCATCATCCAATAATCTAAGTTCAAAGAGCAGTGCTTTAAGAAATGGGCCATCTTCAGGAATAGACACATAACTTGCTCCATTGAAGACTCTGGCTCGTTTTTCAACAGTTGGATAACGTCTGCATTTTATGGAAACAGAAAGATTATTAATGATTCTTCCAAGTAAAATAAAAATGAAAGAATTTTAAAAAAGCCCAAAACACAAGGCAAACAATAACAATAAAACACACAACAAACAAATACTTACACACACCCACAAAAGCCAACAACCAAAAAGTATTATATATTAAGTTCCTACTGGAGTAACTGTTTCATACTTGGTATGTTAGCTATTATTGAAAATGTTTAATTCAATTTAGTTATTTAATTTTTTAAATAGGTAGAGTACATGATTCTAATTCAAAAATCCTGTCTCTTAGCCACTCAGACAGATTCCATCTTGGTTAGCAAGATATGGATACCTGGACCATTTTAGGCATCTTTAAGAATTTTTGTTTTTTTTTCTGATTCCATCTTAGTAGAGTATGACCAAAGAAGTAGTTCAATTTAACCCTCTACAATTTTAGATTCACTAGTTGAGATGGTACAATTTTAAAAGGAACGTTCCATTCTACTTAACCTGCAGTGAATAACAGGTACCCTAGGTCTTCCGGCCAACCCCTACAAAAATACGGAAGATCATTTTAGTAACAATGGTTTATCTCTATGGCCTTGGAAGATACTATTACATAATAAAAAAGAATAAAATCTGAATAATCCTTTATGATTTACATGTTCTGGGTTGAATAATAAGTCACTAATTCATCCTTTTTCTCTTTTTTCTGAAACAGAAGATGCTTTAACTCATTTACTGAAATCTGTTAGACTGTACGTTCTTAGTTCCAAAAAATGTGCTTTTCCTATTCCTTCTCTCTCCATTCTAAAGTCTAGAACAAAGTCATCTATTAGCTTACAACTTTTGAGTAAATCACCTAACTTCCCTAAGCCTATTTTCTTATTTGTAAAATAAAACAAAGGGGTGGTAGTTCTTGTCAAGGGTTAAAAACATACCTAACTAGAACAGTTTTTTTAACTAATAAAATATTAATGTTTATTAATGACTTTTTAAAATAAAAATAAGAATGTATTCAAAGATATCCAAGTATAAGTAAACCTCACTCATTTACATTCTGCTGCATTTTCTTGTTAAAGAAAGGGGAAGAATTAGCTAGCATACTGGTAACAGCCAAGCAGGTAAATGCCATTTCTTTCTCTAAGTCTCTGGATAAGAATAGGAGAGAACTTTGGACTAAACTCTAGTTCAGTGTCTTATTCTCTAGTTAACCAAAGGATAATTAAAGTTCTTAAGTGTAAAAATTTCATGACTGACTGTAAAGATAAGAAGTTAATCTGGGACCTTATACAATGCCTCAATATGTGTTCAATATTTTGTTGGATGACTCAATCTGTCATATCAAATTTATTCTAGGCTTTTTCTAAAATAGGACTCAAATCTTAAATGGCCCTACAACTATGAGGTACAATACCAACTGAAGCCAGACTTAAGCTGATGCTATTACTATCTGGTCAACAAACCTTTAAACCAGGATCTAAATCAAGCTTTACTGTGGGAAATAAATAGTTAGATAGAGGTGAGATCATTTGCCTTTTTAAATCTTAAATACCAGCCATCAGATTTTGGCATATATATGGGTAACATGTCAGTGCATATCAGTTTAGCTCTAATACCAGCTCCAAGGGGTCAGACAAGTGAAAATAATAAAACTTAGCTAATTCATTCAATGATACACAATTAAAGTGAAGTACTTGAACCCAACTTGCTGCTCCATAGAGATGCTGAAAAGCCCACCCAAATATATCTGAATCTTTCTGAAATATTACCCTGAGCACAGTGGGAAAACATTCTGAAACGTAGAATGACTTTTTCAAGCAAATTATTTTTTTTAAGCAATAAAAATCGCAACCTCTATGAGATATTAAGATAATCTACAAAGCAACAGATATAAAAACAGTATAGTATTGGCATAAGAAAGATAAAGTAATAGAACCGAGACAGACCAATGTTTATATGGGGGACATAATAAATATTATCAACAGCCCCACGAATTAATGAAAAATGATATACTGCTTGAAAGATGATGTTAGGAAAAGTGGCTCACAGTATAGAGAAAAACAAAATGGGATTCCTACTTAGCACCATATTCAAAGATGGACTACAGATGGATTAAAGACTTAAATCTAGCAGATAAAATTATAAAGTTAAGATAATGTGGAAAGATATGTTTGGGAAATAATGGCAGAAAAGACTTTAACAAATTCCCCAAAGTGCTAACTACTTTCATTACATCAAAAACAGTGATTTCTGTTTAACCAAGGGCAAAATAAAGTTAACTGACAATGATAAAATAAAATATCTGTAATATCTAAAAATGATAGAGGACTAATATCAAGAAAGCATAAATAAACAGAAAAAAAACAGCAACTTTCAAAGAAAAAAAGAACAGAAGATATGTACAGGCAATTCACAGAAGAAGAAACTCAAAGGACTAAGAATCACTGCTACATAGAAAAACGCAAATAAAAAGATATCCTTTATGGGCAAAAATTAGAATCTAAGTGTTAGGAAAGAATGGAGACACAGGAACTCTCACTCATTGCTAGTGAGTGTGTAGATCAGTGAAAGTATTTTGAGGAACTAATTATTTGGCAGTATTTGGTCAAAATCAGCATAGATTAGTCCCCATGGACCAGTTTGAGGATGTCTACTTCAGCAGTTTCTGATGGCCGAGAATTGGAGTCAACTTGGAAGATCATCCCTGGGGAAGGGGATAGGTAAAATGTGGAGGATGTAAAGAACCATGGAGTACTACAGAGCATGTAGGAGTAATAGCCTAGATCTGCACTGTCCAATGTGGCAGACATTAGCCACATGTGGCTATTCAAACTTAAATTAAAATTAATTAACATTAAACAAAATTAACAATTGAGTTCCTCAGTTACAGTACCTAGAGTTCAAAAGCTTAATAGTCACATGTGGGTAGTGGCTGTAATATTAGCCAGCACAGATTTTGAACATTTCCCCTTTCCATCATTGTAGAAAATTCCATTGGACGGTGCTGCTCTGGATGAACACAAAGTAACATGGATGCTTCCTGAAAACAGTGCTGAGAGATATGACAAATGTAAAAAAAGGAAATGAAGTCTAAAGCACATTATGTAATTTGAAAAATGCACACACAAATACATGCAAATAAAAGGATAACACCAAAAATATAAGAATTACCCGTGGGGGAGGAGGGGAACAGCAGTTAGAAATAGATAACCAAGAGAATATATAAATAAAATGAGGAGTACCTTGAATGGGCTAATGGGGCTGATGAACCATGAATTAAAGATATTATAATATTAACCTCCTGTACTTGAGGTGAGAAAACTACAACAAATGTAAGCCAGGAATCTTGGGGGAAAATGGTAAACTCCAACTCTGATGCCTCAGTAACAAAACTGTTTAGGTTGCAAAGAATGAATTTTTCATATCCACATTGCCAACTTTTTATTTAACCATTCATCTTTACCTGCCTCAATCTCAATTCTACTACACTACTTCACTATAAGCTGTCCTCGGGGAAGAACAAATTGTTGGCAAAAAAGGATTATCAGTGGCTACTGAGAATAAAGTTTGAAATAGATTACTCGATTGCCTCTCACATTTCACAACGAGTTATTGTATAGTTCTCTTCACAGTTATTTTAATAAAATAGGGCAAGTTCTAACAGTGGGACCAGATCAACTTACATCAACGAAAAAGTGAATACAATTACTATCTGATGATTTCTAGCAATGACACATATTGATAAGATAGATGAAAGTAACAGTCATACAGCTCAGCAAGGATTTTTCAATAGAATGAGTTAAAATGTTCTTGAATGACTTCATCAATGAAAGTATAAAAATCTAAAATGTTTAGTGCTCAATAAGTTTTCTTCTTTTCCCTTTGTCATCTCCATATAAATTCTAAACAAGTGGAGTTCATTTTAAGATACAATAATACTAATGTCAGAAAACACATACTGTGGTACTTACTATGTGCCAGGCATCGGTTTACTTAATTCTCACAGCACTATGAGGTAGGACTATTAACAGACGAAACAGAGGTTAAGTAACTTGCCCAAGTCACGGAACTATTCGTGGCTTACCTGGGACACAGTGCATCACAAAACTATGCTACATCATCGACCCTCTGATCCATCCTCCCTGAGAATTCAGACTTGTATTTACCTGGAGAATCTCACGGTGCCACAAAGCGCAGTTCTTGGTTCGTGACTTATGAGCCACACTGCCCGCTGGGCCATGGTAAACCACTAAAAAATCAGCTCATCTAATAACCAACGTCGCCACCAAGGAACAGCGCAGACCGGCTTTCTCAGATGGACTCTTACCAGAAGCCCCGAGGCTCATCCTACGACACATACTGGTCAGGCTCAGCAGAGAAGCTAGCTCCTTTACGTGAGGTGACTAAGTCCTCTGAGTCGCCCCCTCGTTAACACATACCACAGAAAGTTCTAAGAATCCCCACCCAGAGCCTTCAGGAATTTACTTATCCCCAGCAATCCCCGTACTTTCTTCCTTTAAATTCTACTTCCGGGATGGTGGCCCGCAAGGATCAAAGTTTCTCTTCGGTTCGCCGGTTGCTGGAGTCCCTCGTTGGCCCCTCCCGACAGCCTCCCGGGCGCGCGCAGCTCCACTTCCGGCGTATGAGGCGGTGACAATGGGAGCGGCGCGGGCGGCGCCGGGAGGCAGCTGACAGGCGTCTGCAGCTTCGCTTCATGGCCGCTCTCCCGCCCCGCCTGGGCTCTGTGGGGAGTAGGGGAGCCCGTGGCGGCCTGGAGCCAGAGCTGGCGAGCCGAGCGGAGACCTGTGCGCTGCGCCGCTGAGGCGCAGCATGTGAAGCGGAGACGGCATACAGTGCGGGGCGAGCTTCTCAGCCGGCCGGGATGGCTACGACGGCCGAGCTCTTCGAGGTGGGTCCGGCGGCTCTTCAGGGAGTGGCAGGCCCGAGGGTTGCAGGCAGCGAGGTGGGGTGGTGGAGAAGCGAGCGTTCGCCCGCTGCCCAGGAGAAGCCCTCGGAAGAAAGGTGCGAGAGCGAAGGGGTGGGGTGGCGACTCCGGTGTCAGCGCGGGCGGAGCGTGAAATGGGGGAGGGGTGGCTTAGGGGCAGAGGTGGGCTGGTCGGCGGGGCGGGGAAGCTGAATGTCCGAAACGGGGAGGATTAGTTTTGTCGGCGGTGGCGAGAGGGAGATTCTCGGAGGTGCGGGCGTTGGAAGACGTCTACTCCGGATGAATAGTGGGAAGGGCTGATTCAGAACGGGAAAAGAGGAGCCAGGAGCCCCGGGTTGGGCGAGCCTAGTCTTGTCTTTTGGATCCTGTATTCCGAGGGGGCCAACTGGGATTGGGACTCTTGGGGGCTTCTCGCTGTTGAGTATTCCATTAGTCAGTGTTAGAAGTGGCACTCATTTGCTTGTCACTTTACCCTTACATTTGAAAAGGCTTGGGCTAGTTTTTAGAACAATAAAGGCCTACTTAGTCCTTTCGACTGAAGGGAGGCAAAACTAAAATGAATATGTGTTCGGATCTTAAGGAATTTAAGTGTATTATAGAATACAACATAACCGCAAACTAGAGAATCCTCAGCGCGTGATAGACAGCATTCTAATGTATTTCCTTGAGCGTTTTTGGAATCTAAACCTTAAAATTTAACTTAGTGGGAAGTCCATTATAAAAGGCTGTTGTATTTGAAATAATGGAACGGGAACTCTATTTGGACCACAAAACAATGAAATATATAAAGCATCTACGTCTGTGAGAGAAATGAAAACACATGTGAATAAAAAGGAAGAAAAGACCCTTTTTTGTGTGTGTGCTTGTGTTTCACATTGAGTAACACAAGTATAATAATTGAGAAGACTGCAATTGACAATAGAGAATTTCTTCGTAAGTGAAAATTGTATCCTTTTTTGGCCTAAGATTCAGCAGTTTTTGTGGCTTAAAATTTGAATACCACAGTTTTTAAAACAAATGGAACTTTACATTTGTTATTGTTACCACATTTTGGGTTTCAGCCAGCTTTTGGATAGATAATGCTTTTGTTGAGAGGAATAACATATGCCATTGTTACAATAAGTTGTAATAAGGTGGTGTTTGTGAATGATTATAATCACAGGAAAGACTGAAGAAATATTAGTTGTATTTTCTCAGATTTAAGTGTTGGGAGATATACTACATTAATTTCTGTAATTCCAAAATTGTGCCATCTGTTTGTTTATTGACAGGAGAGCAGACAGACATTCTTCTTGTTAGGAACTTTTACTGTGTGTCCCTGGGCAAAATACTAAGTAGTGCTGTAGTTCCTTGTTTTATTTTTCACATCTTATAAAGGTAGAAGACTATAAAGTTGTTTGAGATCTTTAATTTACTAAATGCATTTCGTGACAAGCTAGCTGTTAACAGAAAACTGTTATACTGTCATACAGATTATAGGACATCATCCTTTGAGCTAATCCTGCTTGACAGTTCCCTTGTGTCTTGGACCATATTATGTATATTTTTCTTTAAATGTTTAACCACAGGAATCCAATAACTTATTTGAAAATACATTTGATTCCTGCCTACCCCCAGGGGGAATGGGGGGGTGGTGGAGAAATATGTATTTTGTTTTCTAGGGTCTTGCCATTTAGTAACGTAGTTGAACCAAACTAGGGTTTAACTTAGTGAGTCCAGTTACGTGATAGCCAGCCAGTAAGATTGAGTGATGACGAGGCTGAGTCCTGTGGCCAGAGTGTTCTTAGAACAAATTTAAATATATTTATAGATGTTAACTCATATGACTTTTTTTCTTGACTTTATGTAGCTTGTTGCTTCATTAAAATTAAAAGCACATTAATAGTTACAATTAAGTGTTAATAGTTACAGTTAAGAACTGTATTTATCTTTTCTGGTATTGCTATGTTTCCAGCCCTACCATGAACTCTGCTCTTGAATAAGTTTTTATTCCCAAGTGAAAAGTTGACCTCTTTGCTTTAGAGGGAGGAGAGAGAGAGAGAGAAAAAAAAACCCTAGATCACTGCTGCAGTTTCCTGTAGCTCTGCCATAGGATCTAGGTTGTAGGACAAGTCAGGGAGTGTCTTTTTTGCCTGCTTCCCTTTCTTAGTCACAGCTGAAGAACTATGGGAAACAGAAGGCAGGATGTAGTCAAGGATATTGTGTTTTTATGCATCCTGATTTTCATGCACTATTAAATAGAATTGTGCTTTCATTTTTTACATCGAAGAAGAGAAGTTAAATGAAAACAAAATTAAGCTTTGAACTCATGAAATTTCATTGTGTTAACTCTACCTCTTTTAAAATCTTGTTGGTCCCATGACTCTTCCTTTTTTAATGTAAAAAACTTCATACAACAAAATCAAACTGCAGTATATATCCTCAGCACATGAAAATGATTTAGTAATATATGATTGACTTACTGTGATAGTGTTTATCCCGGAAATTGCCCAGAGTACTCTCTCAGTTTCAACCCTTGTTGACAGCTTTCTGAAAGGATCCACCTGCAGTGTTTTTAACACATTGACTGCCACACTAGAAAAAAAAATTTTTCCCTGAGGCCACGGTGTTTTATTACGAAAATAGAATAAAAACATCGAAAACAAAACAATCCTTTCTAATTTATTGAAAAGTTTGTTATTTTTATTTTTTTGTATGCGTAAGTTACATGCAACTTGAAAATTAGTTCACATGGCTCCCAAGGTAAAGAGATGTGTAAGTTACATATGCTTCACGAGGCCCTGGGCTCAAAACTAGTGTGCGTTAAATACAACTCATGTGACAGTTAATGTGTTAAATGATCACCCCGGGGTGGACATTTTGAATAGTGATTCCTCTGAGGTGTGGATTAATTATATCTTCTACATATACAAAGTGGCTGGGGTGAGAAATTCTCTACCTGTTGTTGTAAATATTCCTTTCTTACTGTACTACTGAGGATGCTGCCTTCTCATTTGCTAATTTTCTCTTCTGTCATTCTTTGTAAGTCTTGCCTTTGGGTAGGCTACCTTTATGGGAGAGTTCTTTTTTTTTTTTTAGACAGAGTCTTGCTCGGTTGCCTGCGCTAGAGTGCTGTGGTGTCAGCCTAGCTCACAGCAACCTCAAACTCCTGGGCTCAAGTGATCCTTCTACCTCGGCCTCCCGAGTAGCTGGGACTACAGGCATGCGCCACCATGCCTGGCTAATTTTTCTATATATTTTTAGTTGTCCGGATAATTTCTTTCTATTTTTAGTAGAGATGGGGTCTTGCTCCTGCTCAGGCTGGTCTTGAACTCCTGACCTCGAGCGATCCACCCATCTCGGCCTCCCAGAGTGCTAGGATTACAGGCGTGAGCCACCGCGCCCGGCCTTATGGGAGAGTTCTTTGTTAATAATTAGGGTTAATTCATTTATTCAACAAATATTTGTTGAGTACCTATTAAGCTCAAGATAAGGTGTCAAAGTTGAGGCTGTATGTCTCAAAAGGCATGCCATAGAAATATTAATCTTACGAGGTGTGCTGCAGAAACACCCCAAAAGGGTTCAGAGGCCAAATAAGTTGTGGAAATGGGTACGATCTCTTTCATTGGAGATTTATAGTATACCTTAGTATGTTAAAGATTCTAGAAATTCATTTTCCACACTTTTTTGACCACAAGACTGTTTTATTTTCCACTGCTTGTTAATTTTGTGCGTTATAAGGTACATACTTTGAAAAATGTTGAATTAGACATACAGTTGTCCTTATTGTCAAATAGAGTGAGAGCAGGTAGATATATAACAACATAATCTAGAAATATAGTTATAAGTGGTGTCAAAGAGGTTTAGATAAAGAGCCATAGGTGTTGAAAGGATGGGAAGACTACCTGTAGAATAAAGAAAGGATCAGGAGGTGGCATTTGAATTATTTACAAAGTATAAATAAGATTCGAATTTGTGGAACTGAGTAGAGGGACTTTTCAGTAAAGAAGACAATAAAGGCCAAGATGTAAAGGAAGGATTGTAGGCTCTACAGACAAGGAGAGTGTTCATTTTGGCTGGGGTGTAGCACACATGAAGAGGAGGAGTGGCATATAAGGTAAATTGGGGTTTAACTGTGGAGGTCCTAAATGTCTTGAATCTCAGGATTGGAAATTCAATTTTCTTTTCTTCCTGTAAATGTAGGTTCCTTGGTAACAGTGCTTGAGGTCAGGTGATTTGTCTGTGATGGCAGTGGCTTTTTGACTTGCAAATTAGGATGTGAATATTCAAAAACACTTGTCCCCACAAAACACATTTATGTATTCTTAAATTTTTCAAACTAAGTTAAAAAGCTATTTAAACAGACGTTGAAAATGGTATCTCTTGTTCATTCAGTTAGCTAGTTAAGTGTGTATTAGTCAACATGAGATATACAAGTAAGGAGCACCCCTTTACTTTCAAGGTGCTGAAATGCTATTTGTTTTAACCATATTAATTGTTAAATAAATGTGTATAGAACCTGACTGCCAATTATAGTATCATGTATATGAGAATAGGTATTCATTCAGCAAACGTTTATTGAGTACCTTACCTACCCTAGGCCAGACATTGTTCTATATACCAGAATTAAAAAAGGGTGAGTTAAAAATCTGGTTGAGAAAACACACGTGTTAACTGATAATCCAGTTCAGTGGGAGTACAGAATCTCTTCCTGGGATAATTAGGAATGATTTTATATAGTAATGGCATATAAATTGAGTGTTGATGGATGAGTAGAAACTTTTCAAACAGGAGAAGAGCATTCCAAGGCAGAGACAGAAGATGACTCCAGTTTGTAAGGTAAGGTATGTTTAGGAGATACTAAGAAGAGATAGGATGTATATATGCATTTTTTAGGAATAGGGAGTGGTGGCAAGGGCATTGAGATCATAGGAGTTTGGGGAAAGTTTTGAAAAGCCTTATTGTAGACCATGCTTAAAGGGGCT